ATTCTATACCACTGACTGCCTGTCGGCGGTTTGTGAATATTACGCGGTTATGCCGCTGTCGCTGATAAATTTCAGCCCAAATATTCGTATCAAATTTCGGACCGTACCTGAAAAGGTCTGGTCTGAAGGACTTTTTCCAAGTTCACGCATTAATTTCCGCAGAAATCAAACAAGACAGTAGTCAGCAAAAACAGTCGAACTGTCGTGTGTGTATGTGTAGGGGTGTCCAGCGGTGGGTTCACGTGATGGTCGTTATAGGTAGCTCACTTGCTTGCAGGTGTTGACTTCGCCTGGTGTCCATTGACTGGCGTCCAACTCTCACATGTAGCTCCCCGAAGCTAGGCTCTGTCTAGCGGCCGCATCTCGGCAACCACCTCGACTGGCAGGCTAAGCCAGGTGGGGGTATCCGTGCGTTCATCTCCGCTCCCCTTTCATCACCGCTGACCGCACGGATCACCGCGTCGCCATATCTCAGATTAGATATCTCAGATCAGATCTCAAGAGGCCAAAACATTCAGCCCGTGGCTGGAAGACCTGCTCTTTTCTACTCCTTCCCTACTCTCTTCCACCCACAGTCGAAAGTCCTACGGATCACCGCATTGCCATCCCCAGGTGAGGCTCCCGGCAGGTGACCACAAGGTACCTGACCCCCCCCCCCCCTCCCAGATAAGTTGGATACCGCCTGGTTGTCATAGCCTAATCATCCTTGCGTTTCAGCACTCAGAAAGCTACTGACCCAGTGACTGGAAGATGTGCTACTTCCTTCTCCTTCATACCTTCTCCCCGCACCGCCCTCCGCCCTTTACTCTCTCTGATGTCTACTCTACTCAACCGTATTACCCCACGATCGAAAGTTCTATGGCGAGGGCGATATGCAATCACGTAGGCGGTCCAAGCCATTGGCCGCTTTCTCACTAAACCACGCGACCCACAGTGGAGAGCGGTATCCATCTGGTGCTCTATTTGGGGAGAGCACTGCCTACCCCCGCGAGGGAAAGGGGGCTATAAAAGGTGCTCTAAACAAAGTTGGGTTTACGAAATCTGCGCGCAGACCGTGGCTTGCAGACCCCCTCCCTCCCGCCGCACCCCACAGGAAGCTAGAGTCCGCTCATTCTAGCAGCCTAGAATGTTCATTTCCTTTCAGACTATTCTAGGAGCAATCGATCGTAATGAAGAACGGTGCTAGTCGTTCGGGAACGGGCGCGCTACAAGGTGAACATCGCCCGTTTTTCCGAACAAGGCCAAATAGGGGAGGTGGGTGCCGGCTACACCTTCTTCTGGAACGGCCGCCCCAAGGCAGTGGTACAGGACGCGGGCGTCGTCATTGACATCCAGAATGACACCGTGGACGACTACCCTGTCTGCCGTAGGGCATCGATGATCACCTGATGAGCCTCCGTCTGCCTCTCCAGGGAGGCAAATTCGCCACCATCGTCAGCATCTACGTCCCCCTATGGCCAGTCCTGGCCCGGCAAGGAACCAATCCTACGAAGACCTGCACGTCCTCCTGACGACTGTGTGCAAGGCGGACAAGTTGATTAACCATGGTGATTTCAACACCCGCGTCGTAACAGGCTGTGCTGCCTGGAGATGATTGCTTGGTCCCAACGGTCTCGGCGGCTCCAATGGCACTGGACTGTTCCACCTACGAACCTGCGCAAAACACCGCCTCATCCTGACCAACACCCTCTTCTGCCTTCCGACGCGACTCGGATTCAACCTCGGTCGCGACATTGGCACCTACTGGACTATGTTCTCGTTCGGAATCTGATGGTTGACAACCGTTATAGAGGTGTACTTTCTGATCTGAATTCACAGAAACGCATGGACAGTCTTCCCCGCCAGGGGCGTTACTTGAGAAACGTTCCGCTTCCCTGAATTCGACCTTTGACTTTCTCATTGCCAGGTCCCGTATCCCCATTCCCATAACTCCCCCTAGTCTGTTTTTATTCACCGCCGTGAAACCGACTATGGGACACGCCCATCAACTGTCCCCCCCTTCGCTCCGAACTTCCCAACACTACCCCTCCTTCGGATTCCGCAGTCTTGCCCTTGCTCCTCTGAGCCCACTTAAAAACACCGGTCTTCTCCCTTTATCCCTCCAGACCTACGATAATCCAATCTCCGTCTCTTGTCCAATCTCTATTTCTCTGCTCTAAGTTGCCGCACGACCCCTCTCCCAGAAAACCTTTATCCCTTTTCTGCGCTCCCTCACCCGTAAGCGTCCACCTTTTCTTCGGACTCGATCGCCCTATGCCCCCTCTCCCTCACCTTCCTCCCTTCGAATTCACACAAAGCCACTCCTGTAGCATCTTGCGAGTCTCCTTTCCCTCTCACCCCTCTCAGTTATACCTACCTCCGCTAAATGTTCCTCCGGCTTCCCGTTCCGCCAAAGTTCTCCCGAGTCCCTCTGGAACACACACCTGCTTCACCCAAACACGATCACCTTGTCTCCTCCAACCAAACCAATCCGTCTTTACCTGAGTCTATTACCCCCCTCTCTCCAACTCCCGGAAACTTGTTTAATCTTCCCTCCCACCTTAAGTCCCAACTTCATCCTCCAGCCTGCCCTAGCCCCCCCTCTATCTCCGTTTCGGTTTCTCCCCCTCCGATTAGCACCATCACCCTCCCATCTTCCCCTTCCCAGCTCTTGCTACCTACCGTTGCGGCTCCTTCGTAAACCGGCTATCCTGACTTCTACCTCACAATCTTCCATTCCCCGCCCATCTTTAGCATGTGCCCAAATCTCCAAATCGTGCTTCTCCGCCCATAATCTCCAGTTCGACTCACGTACAAACCGCCTCGGCAACCCCCCCCCTCTCCAACTTGCCCTGCCTTCTCTCTTTAAACGGTGATCTCGCTCTCACCGGCTCCATGGGGCTGTCCTAAACTCGTACTTTATTCCCAAGCTGTACTCTGCCTCTGTGCCTAACGAGCCTGTCTCTTCTATTGTTTCCCTCCCCATTTCCTTTACCAATGTATAGCACTGCTCTGTCAAACTCGCATGACCTCTGCCGAACACTCGCCGTGCCGCTGTTTCTATAACATTGACTTCCCTTTCATCATTGAACCATACCCTTCCCCAAAGCCGTCATCAACCAACTCTATACGTCACCAGCTCTCTCTTTGGGTGTCACTAATAGTCTCGAGTGCCCTGTTTAGGTCCTTCAACACTACTCCAGCTCGCCTTTTATCTTTTCGTACTCGGCTCCTACGCAAGTCTCCAAAGCTCACCTCATTTGTATCATCCTGGCAGATGGTCATGGCTCCATAACAGACGTCACCTTACATGGGTGGGATCGCTGTAATGTAACCGGAAAAACGTTCTACTAGGAGGCTGCTCTGATACTCCCAAAAATTGGTTCTTTAAATAAGTCTAATAACGAGATTCCGCTGCATGCTCCCCATAGTAGACATGCTTTAAAAACACAGTCAAGCGATATGGGCTGCAAGTAAACGAACGACTTTGCACCTAAAAACGAACCCTTACATCGGGTGCTACAATGTAGGAACACAGCGAGCAATACTGCTGGTCTTAGTGTGGAGGTAAGCATACCAGTTCATAGCCATTGAGGACTACGAAGCAGGCTAAATCTGGTCGACACATTCTGATGAAACCGGTAACCCCGCTGGATCAAGTGGTCATCGTTGACCCAGCTCCAACCGAATCCCTCAGCTGCGCACAGTCTCGCACCAGACTTCATGATTTGACACCGCTACGTCAGACCCGCGAAGCGAACACGTGGTGTTGCAAGGTAGACGAAACGGGAGAAAACGGAGATGAAGTTCACGGGACCACCGAAGGAACCCTCGGCCTCAAACAAGCTGAATGAACACCTGGGTGGTGGCTGACCAACGAGAACGGTGGTCTAGACAGCAAACGACGAACTGCAGATGGCAAACACGGTCACCGTCTAGGTCTACTTTTGGTTGACGGCTACCGGCCCCAGTGAAACTAAGCCGCCTCAGACTGCTGTTGAATAGGCAGAATAAGAACCTTGTCGTGACATAAGATGACGCTGCTCACGGATCCTTTGTTATCGAAGGACTGAGCAACTGCAAGCTTCCTATACTTGGATCCTAGGTTATGAACGTAACACGCGAGTGAAAACTCTTTTGACAGCACAATTCTTCGGGCGCAGTACGTAAATTCCTTTTAGAATAAAGACATCCAGGGAGAATTCCCAACAATCGAAAAGTACTACTTAGGAACGCTGCACTGTCTCCTAACTAATTGCCCCTCATTCGGCATCCCCGTCAGGCAGTTGACACAAAACCCGGCTTTAAATGACGCAGGACAAAGCTTAGAACTTTCTCGAAGAGTTAGCACTCCGTCCTCGCTTCTGAAGCAGAATAATCAGGACCAGACAACTTCGTTGATGCAGCTCATTTCTAGAGGCATGATTAGTATAAATTGAGGTCAACTGGAGCAGTTGTAATTACAGATGAATCAAGCACTACTAGTTCAGTCCCCTGAGTCCCAGACTAGAAGACGCCAACGGCGCAAAGGAACGGTCTCCAAAACAAAACTGCGGAGCGTGTGATGTAACGCTCTGTCGACCACTAAAAGATGACAACGGAGGCTATCGGGTGTCCCTATTAGAGTCAACAATACTGAACGGGACGACAAACTTGAGGAACCACACTCGTACAAGGAAATTTCTCGCACTTATTTTGAATGGCCAAATTGCGGGAGGGTAATCGGCGCTTGAATAAAAGGGGCACTAATGAGTCACGTCAGAAATTTCGACAATCACTATATCAACGTAATATTAAAAGGTCAAAAACAATACACAGAGTACCGTGCTTCAAGGCATAACAAAAGATAAAAAACCCCGACCCAAGGTTTATGCGTCTCTACTGATCATCAAGGAGGGAAGGGGGGTTAGCATACCGGCGTACGCATCGAAAGGACATGTACAATAGCAACACTATCAACACGGACTACAGACGCATCGAAGTGAAAAGAACACCGAGGCTAGTGTTTCGCGTTAGGACGCTCATTTGTTTTCTGACTTCAAATAAGCGATAAGATCAGCACGGTCGGATGCTTTCTTAAGACCAGCAAAAACCATTTTTGTTCCGGGGATGTATTTCTTCGGATTTTCGAGGTATTCGAAGAGGGTCTCGTCAGTCCATATGACGCCTGTAAAGGCAAAGTAATGCATAACATGGAAGTACTGCAGAATGAAACTAGAACATATGCCTAAAATAACCAAAAAAAAACTGGAAAGACCGAGGGGGGACCTTCCAGATCCGAAGGTCTCCATGGGTGTTAATAACGTGAAGAACCCGACAGCCTCGGTGTGATTCGAGCCCACGACAGTCCAAGTTGCCGTTATGCACGCACAACACAGCCGAGATTGTTAGAGGAAAATTCTCACCCTTTCAGTAATTTCGGCGGACGTACGTTCTCAATTATTCATCGTCAGGTCTGCACAGCAACATATGGGTAGTGCGGTAAAAAAACAGATAATGAATAGTAGTTATAGGGGAGAAGGTTGAGGGCGTCCTGATATGTTGGTTCTATCAAGGTTATGGGAAGGACGGAGAAGCGGAGGGAGGAGGCTGGCGGTGGGCTATGCTTAAATTTCGTCGCAGTAGCACCATGTGGCAGGATACGGAAACGAAAGTGACGGATACATCTTGGCCTAGGGCAGTTTGAGGCCTTGTATGGACGCCTTCTGGGAGGATATGGCTACGTTGACTAACCGTATAGCCACTAAATGCCCTCAACCCTATCGCCCATAACTGTTGCACATTGGCCGTCTCAACTTCCGCTGCTTTATCCTGGCTTATATCACTGCGCATGTCTGAGGATGAATAATCAAAAATGCACGCTTGTTGAACTTGACCGCCTTGACATTTAGATTTGTACAATCGTAGAGCTCTTCAGTAAGAGTTAAATGTTGTGATAATTAAATCCTGCAGAAGTTTTCACAAGCAATTGGAAATGACAGAAGTGCAGAGAATACTAGTGCATCGCATCAGGAGGTGTTTATGACAGAACGAAACAACCATGACTGATGACAAGGGCGCCCTAAAGGCGGTAGTCTGTTAGTACGCAAGGATCGCGATACTTTGTGTCGGGCTATCGACGAGCAGAACTTTTTGGTTCTCCTGGCCTATGATTATTTAAACAACATTCCGTTAAAAAAAAAGTTGAGTTACCTAGTGCTTACATAGCGTCATCTTTGTGTGTACTTTCACTAGAACGAGCAATAGTTGGAATAGAGGATTTCCTAAACTAGGATCCACGTTTGAGAGGCATCTTAGGTCCTTTGCAACAAGTGTGAGGAGAAAAATCCACTTTCTTCATGGTTAAACTGGACGGTTAAGGTTATTCTTTTACTAAAACACTCGTCACTTGCGGCAAAACCACTTCCACGCCTGCCAAAGTCTTAGCCTGAAGCACAGAAAACTCAGACGGCCAACCGTACATATCCGACGTGGCCCATACTTCGTCACCTTCATCACATGAATTTCTCCCGAAAATCCTCGCAAAATGTATATCGAAAGGGAATCTGCTTAGTACTGGCGAGATGGCGAAATGGCCAATTGTTTTAAGCGTCCAAAGGTCGCAATTTACGACGCCACATACTATGCAGCGCAATGTTTGTTTTTTGGCATACGTGGAATGTCGGCTCTTCGAAAAGGAACAGAGGGACGAGATGGTCGAAATAAACGTGGGCCGTACATGACTGATCTGATAATTTCGAAATCGAGTCGACATACGACTGCTGCCAGGGAGGAGGGAGAAGCGCAGCGCTAGGGGTGGGCACTCCAACTGGTGAGCCCGTTCCCGGCATGCATGAAAGCAGGGAGATACAAATACAGGTCTGTACTAGTGTGAGACGGCAGGAATAAAATATACAAGCATACCTTTCTTCTTATTTGCCTCGGTGTACTCGTAGCCCGGGGCCATGCCGCTCTTGCGATTGAATATTCCGTGAAGATTAGGTCCGGTCTTGTGCGAGCCACCAGCGACTGCCGTATGACATTGGGCACAACGTTGTACAAACAGCTTCTTGCCCTTGTCGACGTCACCTTCTGGTACGGGCATGTCTGACAAACAAGGTATGCAGGATCTGGCAAACTATGTTGTGACTGACTTCAAAGCCGGCTCCTTCCTGTGTACGGAGACTGAGACGTATACAGTGTACCCTTCTAAAGACAGAATCGACAATCGTTTACGACAGGTGTGAGACGGTGAAAAAAATGAGCGTGCTTAATACGCCGAAAAAGAGGAAGGCAAGCAACAGACCTGGGCAAGCGATCACGCGAAATCACACCCCTAACCCAAAATGGCGCGGCCAAATAAATTGAATGCTAAGTAGTTTATTGGTCAACTAAACAGATACAAAGCCTCTTAAAGGTAAGGTGGACTTTTATCCTTGCTTCATAGCAGTTCAAATTACAGTGGATTTTTGACACCTGGTAACTTGTTTCACGGTACTAGTTAGGCAAAATATTTTTATGATGCCCTAGGGCATCAGCGTCAGCATAAGAGCTCTTATGCTGATGTTATTTAGCCATGTCTGTTCAGGAGATCGGCAGCGCGTGTAGGTGGAAATTCAACAGCGGAGTCAGGAAGTGTACAGACGTATATCCTGCAACTATACAAGCGAAAATTGACAAATTGTTATTGACACATGACGGTGTTTTTGTTTAATCGCAAAAACGCTGGTCAACTGACTCACGTGTACTACGCCGCGGTACAGGATTGATAGGGAGGTGTTTTCGAAAGGTGGCTTTCTCATTCGGTTTCAAGAGTCGGAATAAGTCCTAACTCAAAAAGCGGCAACAGTATCATCAGGGCAACCCGTCGAAAAATGTTTTCTGAAAAAGGTCAATTTCGAAGAGTGTTAAGAGAATTAGGTGTGGACAGTTCACTCGCAGCAGTGACTGCTGCCACAAGGTTCTAAACGAGAGAGGTTAATTGGAAGGGAAGGAACAGTATGGCGACACGTCACAACCGAAGTGTGCCAGTGTGGCAAATACCCAACTACCATCTACAAGGAGTCCGCATTGTGAACCCTGGAGTGTAATTCGGGGTCCTGCCGACGAAGACAGACTACAGATGAACCTGAATCGGTTGGAGGAGTGGTCAAACCGTTGGCTCCTGCGGTTCAACGTTGCCGAATGTAGCATACCTCGCCTAGGCAACACAGCCTGATCTGCCAGCACAAGAAACTACTTTCTGGGCGATGCAGCCCTACAAGAGGTTAAAGTCCAAAAGGACCCCGGTGTGCTGACGATGAGTTCCCTAAAGAGCTCCCAAAGAGCGGTTTCAGGCTTTGGCCCAGTGGTGCCACATGGCGCCTTTCTCTTTCTTGGCATAAGTGCTCAGTCATGGTGGTTGGCGACGACCACCAACCTCAACTAAGTATTGAAGGTCACTCCATAAATGTGCCCGGGGTTATTAAGGATCTGGGCGTATCATACACCAAGAGTCTCAATCTCTCGGAGCAATGTGCCTTGATAGTCTCCAAAGCACGTAGCACGACCGGGTTTATCCTCCGAAATTTTAAAACTAGGGACATTAGAATGCGCCTTTTCAACATGTACGTTAGACCTGGTCTGGAATACTGTTCGTTTTCATTTAGCCTCATGCGTGCTACTGAGCGGAAGAAAATATAATCCGTTCAACACTTTTTTACCAAGAGAATTTTAACCCCGGAACACCGACATTTGTCTTACCAAGAACGTTACCGGCTTACAGGCCTCGATCCTTTATGGTTCCGTAGATTACAAAAGCGACTATTTTTGCTATTTAAACTTTTATATAATCACACATTTAACCCACTCACCTCTTTAAGACATCATATCCACCCACGACGTAACAGTCACCGTGAGGTCTTCTTATTTCTGCCTCTGGCACGTACTGTTAAATATCGTAGATTCTTTTCTATAAATATAATTGCTATTTGGAATAAAGTACCCATGAGTGTGAAAACTCTGCAAAATTATCCATTATTTAAGAGAACTATTACTCGATTTTTGCATTCAGAAAAGCTCCCACAAATTTTGGGTGCTGGATCTACTGATCGACTGTACCGTAGCGATGGCGTTTGTGGTCTCTGAACACTATGGCCGGTCTCACCATGGGCAGTTTCGTTGGCCAACAGCGACAGCTGATCCTCAACGCCTCTTCTTTGACTATACCCAATTTTATGAAAGGACTTGACGTCTGATAAGCTCCGATACCGTGCAACCCCCTCCCCCACCCCCCTTCTTGACGGTCGAATGTCTGCTGCCAGCAGCTTTTTTTCTCCTGAACCCTTCGAACCACCAAAACCAACATCAACTATATTTTTATTCCATTTCCACAGAAGTTTTTTTCATTGCTGGTCGAATTAGTGTTTAACGCTTCCCTTGACAATGCCTGTAAACTGGCATTAAATAAAATTATCATAAAGCCATCCGCCCATTTTTCGAGATTGACAAAAAGCGCAATGTCCGTACTGTACGCCATCAAGCGTGCGTTTATGAACTTTGACGAAGACGCTTTCTCTAACACATTCGGAACATTCCTCTGGCCGCATTTAGAGTACGGCATACAAGCCTGGAGGCCGTGGGCGGTTGAAGACCAAAACTGCCTCAGAAGAGTTCAGAGGAGAGCTACGAAGATCGCGAGGGGTCAAAGCTCCTTTCGTTATGCAACCCGCCTAGTAAACCTGAACCTTTTTCCTGTGAGTTACAGGCAACTTCGCGGGGATCTCTTGCAAACACTCTGCATTGTAAAGGGGTTGGATTACAGTCTGCCCTTTGAGGACTTTTTTGAATTTGCAACCACGACGAAGCTCCGAGTTTACCTGTTAAAACTGCGCACTTAGCAGGCAAGGCTGGATGTACTGATGTTCTCCTTCTCTGTTCGAGTGGTCAAACCATGGAATGACCTTTCCGCAGATGTTGTGATGTCACCATCTATTTAAAATTTTAAAAAGAGTCTTGACATCTTTATGTTCCAAAATGGCCAAGAGCGATGAGAAGTAGAGCTCACCCCCTGTAACTCGTTCTCATTTTGTCCCACCATTATGGGCGTGTTTGAACTTTTTCAGCCCAGGACATTTATCTGTATACCACACAATTTGCACGTTGCAAATAGGGTCCTCAAAGGCTTACGCCTATTTCCCTCAATAAACTGAACTGAACTGAACCAGTCCCGCCGAACCCCCTAAAACCCGCGGGGTTCAAGTGTCTGTAAGGGACTAAACAGGGGCTGAATGAGGGAATGTGGTTGGGTTTTCGATGCCGCAACTCCCTATTGCCCCCTCACGCGAAAAAAATGCGCAGCGGGACGCCTCCTTTCTGCCTTTCCCCTCCCCGTTTGAGATAATGACTTTGTTGTCCCCATTATGTCTTACGCATAGCGCATCATAGCTCGGCATCCTCTCATGTGACCCAAACGTATGTAGAGATCCTTGTGCATCCGCGCTTAGCCCTCTCCATAAGGGTATCGGACAATGAACACAATTAAATTAGAAGAAGTGGTCTACTGGTTACAAAAATGTAGTAAAATATAAGGAAAGTGTGCATGATCGCAGAAATTATTAGTCAATATGAAGAAAAGTGTTCGTTGTCTGCGGCAGGTCCCTAAAAAGAAAGGCCAAAAAACGAACTGTTTAAACAATAAATAAAAGAAAATGAAGTTAAAGTAGACTTCTCAATGGGACCCAATTGGGTTCTTGTTTTTTGCAACTTTCTTGGGCTTGTTGTCTCAATGAAACCTCGACGTCAACCATAAAACCTTCGCATTCACCACACAAGGCTTTATATGGATCGGTTATCTTCTAAACGGCGTTGAACTCGTGGATTTTTCTTACCCTAACAGGAATTCCCCGTCCATCCTAAGTTATATGTAGAGTATGTTGATTTGTTCCAAGGCAATCTGATAGGTAAGGGAACAAAAGTTTCCCTTCTGAGTCATTTTCGAATCTTTATGGGAAGTATGCGGCCTTTTGTAAATTAAGTCGCTACGGCACCCACCGGTGTATGCTGCAGATAGAGTGCACAATGTCCCAAGAGCGCATTTCTCGCAAACAACTGACCTAAGACAAACCCGACATGTTTCCTTCTCGAAGATGGCTTATTAAAACAATTCCCACCTAGGCTCAATCCCTAAAATAGTCCAATTTACTCACCGAAGTACGTTCTGAATGATCGTCTTCGACAGCAATAGTTATTGTTTTGAAATTTACAAAATGGAGGAAGGTTGCTCCGCACTCAGGAATACACAAGACCGTTTTCGCTCCATTTAGTTCTATTTGATAGTTGTTTCTGATTTTATGGCGTACAAACGCCAGACAATATTGGAAAAGAGTTGATCTTATGTCAAACTGAGCTTTCCGCTATGTAAACCAATAATTCATCATGCAACACAGTCCACTATTTTCGCTGCGGAGGACTAGTTTGCGTCCGTATGCAACGAGGCACAGTCCGCGACAACACTAATGGCTTCCGTAAGTCATCACGAATCGTCGTGTGGTATGCATAACGAGACCGAATATTAAGTAGAAGCATTTAATTTTTGCGAAGAATGCCCTATACGTGTTATTTTCAATAATTCGTTGCAGCGGTTTCCGTGGACACCCATAAAATGCTTTAAGGAGAATAAAAATGACAAACACGATCAGTAGACGCACTGTCTACGGTCAAAACACTGGCAGGATACAATTTATTATTGATAGTAAATAATAATAGTAGTACTTAATGCCAGTTAACACGCATTGCCAAAATAGATACACAGTGTACATAAAGCTCGCACTGAAATACTCCTGGCGGTTAAGCACGACTAGTACTGTTTTGGTAGTCGGAGTTATTCAAAAAAATTTCAGTCCCTGAAATGACGACAGCTCAGAACAAAAATAATTGTCACTAATGTAGCGGGTACCTTCATTCCCAATTCCTGTTCATGAGATCGGAACTGCCCCAGACAAGGACGCATGCGTGAACAATTACCCGCTGTCGACTGAAGTATTTTCCCGCCGGGTTACAAGCTGCATAGACAGAGCCATTTTTCTCAAGATGAGACCTGGCAGAGGGATTATAGGCTAGGAACTC